TATGTATGTTTTCTGATCAAGTCTGATGAAGTTCCAAGCCTTGTCCTGTAAGTCAGAAGTCTATATTCAGGATTCCATGGCGACTTGGTTACTTTATTCCCTTTGCTGCCAAGTTGCATTCCCTTTGCATTTCACCCCGCTGGGCATGGGGCAGACTGGGCACCCTTTCCATACAATATCTCCAGTGCCATCCCCCATAGCACAATGGGTCAGTGAAGAATGTCGTGTCTCATGGTGGAGCTGGCCCTATGATCCTCTCTATGTACTGGATGCGCTGAGCAGGATGTCGTTCCTGGGGCTTGGTGGGCCATGATGGTGGCCACCCATCCACTCTCTCTTTCCCTTTTAGGTCACTCCCATGTGGTCTGGACAGACTGACTTTTCTCCCTGGGCTATATCTTCAGTGTTGTCCTCTGTGTTACCTTCTTCTGGGGAGGAGGTCAACATAGCTCCGCTTGGACCTGGCCCCGTCATCTTCTCTGTTAGTTTGCTGCTTCATGTCAGTGTATTGCCCTCAAGGCTTGGCGCTCTGGGCTGGGGTCTGGTTCCTCTCTCCCTTTCCAGTAGAGACATAACCAATACCTTCCCTGTGAGTGTATTCCTGCACTGTTCCCTAATCCCTCTCTTTTCCCCACCTTCTTAGTTGGCTGCCATATGCATCTCTGAGTTGGGTCAGACCCCTGCCAAAGCATCTGAACCTCAACCCAAAATTTATGCATTATGTAGCTTATCCTCTATGCCCATTGTCCTTTTTGAGCTTACCTCAGTGGACTCGTGTTATATTTTGCCCTTTGTGCTTGGATAGCTTCACTCAGCATAATTTCCTCCAACTCTTCCCACAAGACAATGTGCTTTATTTGTTTGTCACTGCTTTTTAGGGCTACATATTACTCCATTGTATGTATATGCCAGAGATTTTTTAATCCATTCGTTAGTTGATAAACATTTAGAATGTTTCTTGGCCTTTGCAATTGTGAACTGCATCGCGATGAATATTGGAGCGCAGATGTCTGGTCTTGGTCTACTTCTTACTTCTGGGTATATGCCCAGTAGGGGATTGCTGCATCATATGGTAGATTTCCACTTGTTTTAGGTATTGCCAGGTCTATTTCCATAGTGACTGCATGTATCTACAGGACCACCAGCAATGGATGAGAGTTCCTATCTCACTACACCCTCTCCAGAACTTATTGCTTTCTGATTTTTTTTTAATTGGGCTATCTTTGAGGGTGTTAGGTAGTATCTCATAGTTGTTTAAATTTGCATTTCCCTATGGCTAATGATTGGGAACATTTCTCATGTGTTTATTTGGATTTCCACCCTTGTGAAACTTCTGTTCTGGACATTTGCCTACTTCCACAGTGGACTCTGTTTTTTTCTTGTTGTAGGCTAGTAGAGTATTATATATTTTAGTAATAAGGCCTTTGTCTGGTGTGTCATTGCTAAAGATGTTTCCCAGGCCATGTGCTCTCTTATTACTCTCAGTGAATTCTTTCGATGTACACAGGTGTTTTATCTTCAGTATATCACACTTGTAAATTTGTGCCTCATCTGTATGTCCGTCCTTCCCTATTTCCGAAAGCCTATGCATTCCCTGGACCAAAGTTGTCAGGTTTGCACCAATTCCCTCATTGATGGACCTAATATTTTGACGTTTGACCTCAAGGTCTGTGATCCACTTTGACTTAATTCTTGTGCATGGAATGAGGTGAGGGTCTTGCAGGTAGTTATCCATTTTTTCTAGCAAAACTTTTTGAAGAGGGCATCTGATTTCCATTGGATATTTTTGAGATCAGTTGTCTGTATGCAGATGTTTTCATTTCTGAATTTTCTGTTCTTTTCCATTGGGCTGAGTATCTGTCACACTGTTTTGACCACTGTGGCTATATAGTAAGTGTTAAAGTCAGGTAAAGCAAGCCCTCCTATTAAAGTCAGGTAAAGCAAGCCTTAGAGAAGCAAGTCTCTCTTCTTGAGGAGTTGTCTGCTAATTCTGGGTTTCTTCTATCTCCATACAAAGTTGGTAGTCAGTTTTTCCAGTTCCTTGAAAAAAGATGTTGGTATTTGTATCAGGATAGTGTTAAATTTATATAGTGCCTTGGGTAGGATTGACATCTTTGTTATTTTGAGTCTTCTGATTCACGAGCATGAGATAGTCTTTCATTTGTTGAGGTCACTCTTTGTTTCTTTTAACAGTGTTGTACAGTTCTCCTCGCACAATCTTTGTGCTTTTTTTTTTTTTGGTTAGGTATATCCCTAGATACTTCAGTTTATGCTTGGCTATTGTGACAGGTAATACCTTTTTTATCTCCTCTTGCATGATCTTTTCCGGTGTTTATAGCAATCTAATAGGCTTCTGTTTGTTGATCTTGTATCCTGCCACTCTGCCTTATTTCTCTATCACTTCCAGCACTCATTTTGGGGAGCTTTTGGGGTTTCTAATATATGAAATCATATCGTCTGCAAATAATGATAGTATCACCTCTTCTTTCCCCAGATGAATTCTTTTCATGTCTTTCCTTTGGCTTATGCTGTTAGCTAGGACTTCCAGTCCAATGTTGAATAAAAGTAGGGACAAGAGGCATTCTTGTCTGGTCCCCTTTTTTAGTGGGAATGTATTTTTGTGTTTTCTCTATTCATTACTGCATTGGCTGCTGGTTTTTCATACATGGTTTGTATTAAATTGAGAGATTTTCATCCCATTCATATCTTCTTGAAAGTCTTAAACAGGAATGGGTGTTGGATGTTGTCGAATACCTTTTATGTGTCTAATGATATTATCATGTGGTTCTTATCATTTTTCTTGTCAAGGTGGCAAATATTTTTGGTGGATTTTCAGATATTGCACCATCCATGCATATCTGGAATGAATCCCACTTGGTGATGATGAATTATTCATTTTATATACTTTTGTATTCTATTGGCCAATATTTTGTTAAGTATTTTTGCATTGGTGTTCATTATAGATATTGGTCTGTGGTTCTCAATTCTTGTGGGATCCTTGCCTGCTTTAGATATCAGTGTTATACTAGTTTCATAGAAACAGTTTGGGAATTTTCCATCCCTTTCTATGCTCTGGAAGAGTTTGTGTAGAATTGGTGTCAGTTCATCCCTGAATGATTGCGAAAATTATCCTGTGAAGCCAATCTTGCCCTGTGGATTTTTTAGTTGGTAGTCTCTTGATAGCCTTATCTCTTTCTTCTATTGTAATGGGTCTGTTGAGGTTCTTGACATCCATCTGGGATAATCTAGAAAGAGATTGTTTTTCCAAGTATTTATCCATGTCTTTCAAGTTGTTAAATTCATTAGAGCATAGGCCTTCATAGTACTATGTAATTAACACCTTAGTTTCTTAGGGTCGGTGGTAGGTTCCACTGTTTCATTCCTCATCCTGGCTATTGGTGTTTGTTCCTTCTTGTCTTTAGTTAGGTTGCCAACAGTCTATTGATTCTGTCAATCTTTTCAAGGAACCAGCTTTTTTTTTTGCTGCATTGATTTTCTGCATTGTTTTCTCACTCTTTTATATCTGCCTTGGTTTTTATTATTTCTTTTCTCTTGTTATTGGGTTGATTATTCTGTTGACTGTGCTTTAATTGCTGGAGGCTTTTTGACAAAATGCCAATCATAAGCCTTTCTTATTTTTTCATGTGTGCATTCATGGCTATCAAGCGTCCTCTGATAAGTGCTTTTGCTGAGTCCCAAAGGTTTTGGTAAACTGTATTCTCATTCTCATAGGTTTCTAAAACCTTCCTAATTTCATCTCTAATCTGGATCCATTCATTTTGAAGGAAGAGGTTATTCTTCCTCCAATTATTTGCCTTGTTTTCTTCACTGTCCTTTTACTGATTTCCAGCCTTATTGTGCAGTGGTCTGAGAGGGAAGTTTGAGTGATCTCTAAGTGCTTGAATTTATTTAGGCTTGACTTGTGCCCCAACATGTGGTATATCTTTGAATAGGTGACATGCACATTGAATGTCAAGTTGTTTTTGTTTTTGTTTTTTTCATTTGGGTAAAGAGCTCTTAAAGTATCTATTAGGTCAAGTTGCTTAATTGTAGAATTTAATTCTATAGCTTCCTTGTTAAGCATCTTTCCCTGTGATCTATCTTTCTTGGAGAGCCATGTATTAAAGTTACCTACTATGATTGTTAAGCTTGTGAGTTCTTTATTCATTTTGTGGAGTGTTTGACGACTTTTATAGGTCTCTTGTTGAGTGCATATATATTTATTATGCTCACTTGTTCTAGATCTACTGTTTCCTTGAACATTATATATTGCCTCTCCTTATCTCCTGTTACGGCTTGCACCTTGAGATCAGTTTTGTCAGAGATCAGTTTTGTCATAACCTGGTGTCAAATTGCGGAGGGGTAGAATCTGGGTTGTCAATTAGGTTGCAGTTTGATGACTTAATTTGGAGTCATGGAGATATATTGCTCTCTGAAGTTGGGAAATGCACTCACTCCCTGTGAGACATTCCTGCTGACAAGACACATGGAATTTGCTAGTGCCCTGGAGCTGGAGGAGTCACATGGAGACCCCTGCCAGCACTGAAATACTTCCATTGCCACTGGATACCCAAGACTTTCCATCCACTGGCCTGCGATCTTCCTGCATTTGGCGCCATTGCAGGTTTTGTGTGAGCTTGAAGAGCAATTTGTAGATTGGTATCAGATATATGGGCTTATATCGGACTTATGGACTTGATCTGGACTTGGCTGGGATGTTTTATCATTTTACAATGGCTCTTGTATATAAAGTTCTTTCTTATATACTGATGAGTCTCCCTGGATTTATTTCTCTAGTCAACCCTAACTTACACACACCCTGCTTTCTTTGAATTGACATTTGCTTGTATATTTTTCACCAGTCTTTAACTCTCGGCTTATTTTTGTCTGTGAGCTTGAGATGTGTCTCTTGTAGACAACAGATTGATGGGTTATGTTTATTATGCCAGTCTGCTAGTCTCTGCCTTTTAATGGGTGAGTTCAGTCCATTGACTTCAGAGTTATAACATCCATCTATGTGGGCTGACTGCTCCTACTGTGAAGCAGGTGAGTGGTTTTGCTAGCTGCCAGCTGAGCCAGCCTTCCCCGGGCCCTGAAGCTCCCTTCAGCCCCAGCCTGGCCGCCCCCACGGGCCACCATGCAGACTCTGGCACCTTAGCCCTCGCTCCCCAGGTGGTGGTGAGGCAGGAAGTTGGGCTGCCTGAGCCTGCCCCCCAGCAACTCCTGGGCCCCCGAGGCTCTGGCCTCACCAAAGGGGTCTTACCTCCCACCCTCATCACTGACTCCACTGGGACCCACCTTGTGCTCACCATGACCAACACCAATACAGACAACCCAGGCCTGCCCAGTGCTAGTCCTCAGCAGTCTTTATCCCCGCCTGGCTCTCCAGCCCCTGGCCGCCCCGCCCAGATGGACTTGGAGCCCCCTCTGCAGCCCCTCTTTGGGCCCCCAGTATCTCTCCTGAAGAAGGAGCCTGACTATGAGGAAGCCGTGAGTCAGCAGCCTAAACCGCAGGAAAATGGCTACTCAAGCCAGCAGATGGATGACCTGTTTGATATCCTCATTCAGAGTGGAGAGATCCCAGCTGACTTCAAGGATCCAGCAGCACTTCTGCCTGAGGAGAAGCCCACTGTACCCACCCCGCCCTGCACCGAGCTTCCATCTGCCGTGTACCCTCTGTCGGGCTCACCTGCCCTCCCTGGGCGGCTGGAGGACTTTTTGGAAAGCAGCACGGGGCTGCTCCTGTTGACAGGAGGGCATGAAGGCCCGGAGCCCATCTCCCTCATCGATGACCTCCACAGCCAGATGCCGAGCATCTCCGCCATCCTGGACTACCCACCCTCGCCCATGGACACCGCCGAATTGAACTTTGTGCCTGAGCCCAGTGGCCCTGTGGGCCTGGAACTGACCGATGGGCCCCTGGACGGCATGGACTGGCTGGAGCTGTCAGGCGGCCAGGTGCTGAGCCTGGCTCCCCTCAGCACAACAGCCCCCAGCCTCTTCTCTACAGACTTCCTCGATGGCCACGATCTACAGCTCCACTGGGATTCCTGCTTGTAGTTTCTGCTCCCCAAACAAAGCCGGGCACCCCTAAGCCTGATTCCCTCTGCCGCTGGGAGCCACAGGCCTGCTGCCTCTTCGGGAGACTGAACAGTGTCCAGAGGTGGCGCAGCTCAGAGTGGGCATGTCTGTTGGCTACCTCTTCTGAGGTGTCATTGTCCAGAGGCTAATCCTTCCCCCCCGCCCCAAGTAGAAACTATGCTGGGCCTCTCCTGTCAGCCAACCTCAGTGCCTGCTGGCTGCCCTGAGGGGGCTCCCTGCCATGTTGGTCAGTGGCACGTTTCCTGTACAGGTGTATATAGCTCGCATAGCCACCCACACGCCAGCAGCTTGACTCCAACTCACAGCAGCCCTCTAAGACAGAGTAGAACTACCCGCAGGGGTCTGAGATCTTGATGGAAGTGACTGTTTCCCTGCCCTCCCAGTTAACAGCCAAGTTGCTTTAACCACGGCGCCTCTGACACACCTCTATATTCACATACATCGCTGGGTGGGCACAGGGGCCGCTTGAATTGTGGCACACATGGACATAGCCTTCCTTACCTCTCATGTGTTTAACATGTAGAAGCCCTGCCACACCTATCCCAATTTCCAGCCACCCCTGCCTGTCTGATCTGTCACTCAAGGGGCTTGGGGTGGAGTCAGTAATAAGTGCTAGGGCACAGGTGGGGAGCTGTGTGAACTTTTTAAAATAAAATATATATTGGCTGTAAATTAAAAAAAACAAAACAAAAAAAACAAACAAACCAACAACAAAAAACATCCATCTATGGCAGTTATTCTCAATCTTCCTATTCCAACAACCATTTCATACATGTCCTCATGTTTTGGTGACTCTCCCTCAACCATTAAATAATTTCTGTTGCTACTTCATAACTGTAATTTTGCTACTGTTATGAATTGGGTGACCCCTGTGAAAGGGTCATTCAACCCCCAAAGGGGTCACCACCCACTGGTTGAGAACCGCTGGTCTATGGACTCTGTGATGTCATTTCATACCTTTTGTGTTGTGTATTTACCTACTGCCCTTCTTTGCATTGGGATTTTTGTATTTGTGTGTGTGTGTGCGGGGGTGTTCATTCTTGCTGTCTTTTCAATGTTGAATTAATGTTGTCTTTGGGGCTAATTTCAATGTGTTGACGTCTGGGTGGAGTTGTTCTATTTGGTGGTCTCCTATTTGTGCTCAGTGCTTGTTGTTCTTTTGACAATAGTAGACAAGTAAGAATTTTTAGAAGAATTGGGTTTCTTCCATCATATTTGAGATTTCCCTTGTCCAGGAAAACTGATAATTCTCCATCTTTCTTGATAGATAGTTTGGCATGGTATAGGATTCTTGGATTGGCATTGTTCTCTTTCAACTTTTTGAAGGTATTACTCTGCTCTCTCTTCCTCATGGTGTCTGAGCATAATCTTATCTGTGTACCTTTACAGGTGTCTACCATTTTTTCCTCTTAGCTGCTCTTATGATGTTCTCCTTTTCCTATAATTTAGATAGTTTAATTACTATGTGCCTTGGTGACTTCTTCCTGGAATTCAGTCTAGCTGGTGTCCCCTCTGCTTCCTTAATGGTTGCCTGATTCTCACTCATTAAGCTGGGGAAGTTTTCTTCCAGGAATTACCTTAATGTAGTTTACTTCTTGGTTGTGTCTTGTTCTGGTATTCCAATTATTCAAATGTTGTTCCTATTCATGGCATCAGACATTGTTCATAGGTTTTCTTCAGCTTCTTTGTTTAACTTGTTTGACTCTTTCCTGTTTGTTGAAGTCTGCCTGGTTGTCCTCGAGGTCACTGGTACACTTCTCCACATCTTCTAGTCTGCTAGTGATATCTGTTAACTTATTATGTGCCTTTGCTATTTCATCCCTTATCAGTTGTATTTCCCTTTGGTGCTCATCCCTTAATTCTTGTATTTTCCTTTCGTATGTGGCCTCTAGCTCCTCTATAACTTCATCCTTTTTCTGTATTGCTTCCCTCACATTCTGTGTGAATTCAAGCAGGAATCTGAAGATTTCCTTCTGTGGTAGATCAATGTCTGCTTCTTCTATGCACATCGTTAGTGACGCAGTTTATTTTGCCAAGCTGGCCAATAAATACATGTGGGGTTAATTGAAGGGCAGAGGGATAAATGGCTCAGTGAGCCTCACCTTTCTAGTTTTCAGGTCTCTTGCTTTCTGATGGTTGGACCAGGGTGGAGCTGCCTTAGCCAGTTCCCTATTCAGCTAGCAAGGCTCACTTCCTGCAAGACATCCCCGAGGAGAAGCCACATGGACCTACCCCAATGCAGCCCTGGGTGCCAGAGCACCCATGTGGAGACCCCTGCCAGCACTGAGATACTTACATGTTCACTGATTTGGCTTTCCTCCAGCAGTCGGCATCATTTCGTGTATTTTGTGAGATGGAGGAGGACTATATGATTGGTATTGGACTTATGGGTTAATGTTAGACTTGTGAGCTTGGGTAGCACTGGGTTGGGATGTTTTCTTGATGTGCACTTACCCTTTATATAAAACTTTCTTTTATACATGAGTTTCTGTGGATCTGTTTCTCTAAAGTAGCCAGACTAATACAGTTAGGTTCAGGACTTCTGACTTTGCCTTTTGATTTTCCTGTTTTTTTTCATTGTGTTTGTTGAGCCTGGTTGTTGTCTATGTGCCAGTTTTAGAGGAGGCACCATTTTTCAGAGATTTGAAGAGCAGTGGGCTTTCTATTTGTGAAACTTGTTGGAATGTGTCTGTGCTGGGGAGTGGGGTCACTGTTTTATCCCTCTGTGTTTTCACTCTCTCCCTAGCCAACTAGTATTCTGTTATTTGGAGGGCAAGTTGGTTGGTCTTCTCAGGGGATGCTGCTCAGGCAGTTGTGGGCCAGTAATGATGACTTTGTGCTGGATGAGCTCACAGGATACCATGGCGGTATGGCCCACGGCATCTTGAAGTTCCTCAGAGGATGTTCAGGGATGCCCCCTTCAGCGGGAATGATGTGAAAAGCAGTTGGAGGTGCCTGCTTTGGTGTAGAGCACTGCTAATGGTGGGAAGAATCGTCCTAGTCATCAAGAGCAGAATTCGGGTAGAGGTACCCATGGCAGTGTGGAGTGCTGTGGAGGTCCAGTGGGGCTTCCTTAGGCCATAAACAGTGCTGTAGAAGGTCAGAGGAGGCTCCCTCAGCCATGTATAGGGCTTCGGATGACAGGCAGACCTTCCCCCAGCCATGTGGAGCACCAGGAAAAGCAGGAAGAGGTTCCCCCAGCTGAGTAGAGTGCCGGGAAAGGTGGGAGGTAGTTCTCCAGCCGGTGAGAGGGCCTTGGAGGCAGGCAGGAGTTCCTCTAGCCTAGCCATATGTAGGGCCATGTAAGCCTTGGAGAAGCTACCCCAGATGCTAGAAATGTGGCAGGAGACACTGGCTGTGTGGAGCACTGTGGAAGGCAGGCAAAGTTTTCCCCAGCTGAGTAGAGCACCAGGAATGGTGGGCAGTGTTCCTCTAGGCTCTAGGAGGGTTGTAGGAGGTGGGCTGGAGTTCTGCCAGAATCATGTAGGGCCGCTGAAGGATGGCTGAAGCTCCCCCAGCTACTAGAAAGTGGCAGGAGTTTCCTCAGCCACTAAGAGGATGGTGGGAGGGAGTTTCCTAGCTGCATGTAGAGCCACGAAAGACTGGCAGGATGACCCCCAGCTGCTTGGAGGGCAGACAGAGTTGCCCTCTTCAGGAGGAGCACCCTGGAGGTTGGCAGTTGCTTATGAAAGGAAGAGAGGGGGCAGGAGACCAAAACTGAGCTAGCCATGACTGGTGGGAAAGAGATGAGCAAAAAAAATGTAAAGAAATAGATGAGCCCCAACCATCTGACCGTAGAGCTGGAGAGGTTTATACCCTGCCCAAAGGCAGCAGCAGCTGTGGCAGTGTTAAAGTAAAATGATTGGGCCAGCTAAAGTAGCCTGGCACCAGTTGTGACTGTGGCAGGTTTAAAGCTCTGTCTCAGCTGGCCTCACAGTGGCAAGCCAATGCCCACAGCTCTTCAAAAACTAGTAGATCTGAGTCTACTTATCTTTATGTTGATTCTCCTGTGACCTGGAAGGGTGGAGTTTCCCTTTTGTGGCTCTCCTGAGCTGATTTTCATGGAATCCCTCTGGTGTGTGTTACTTGGTCACCTTCCTGCCGGAACGCCATGAAGCAGACTATATCTCAGAAGATGTCAGTGTACAATTTCCAATGCGTCCCAAGGGAATCCAAGCATAATGGATTTTCTGCTTTACTGCAGATACGGTGGCTCAGAGCTCCATAGCCTCTGCTGTGCCCGTGGCCGCGGAGCCTGAGACAAGGACAGAAGAGGCTCAGGCTTGCATGCCAGGAACCAAGCCAGGAATTTCTTTTAAAATGCAGATTAAAAACTCTTTGTCAACAATAAAATATAATATTTTGGATTTGTTGGCTGTTATCTCAGAATTAAGTGATATATATGTACTGAATTAAAAATTGACACACTGCTAAACTTTTTGGTTGAGCAAAAAATTAAAAGAAACACCAACAGAGGGTTTTTTGTTGGTTTATTGCTTTTTAAAAACTAATACATACAATTTAAAAGATGAATAGTATTTGTGATTGAGTAAAAATAATTTGGCACCGAGAGCCCAGATTACATCATTGTTCTCACTGTTCATTCACTGCCATCAAGTAGATTCCAACTCAGAGTGCCATCCTATATAGTTCAGGGTACATCTGCTCCTGTGGGTTTCAGACTGTGGGTCTTTATAACAGTGGAAAGTCAAATTTTTCTTCGCTGGAGGTTGAGTTAGGTTTCTGGAGCGGGTAATACCATGGTTCTTTGCTTTCTGAAAGAATTCATGTCGAAGCTCATTTTGTAATCCAGGTGGGTTTTTATGAAGGAAAGAACAAGCTTCAGGTTTTACAGTCTCAAAGGGGTTCACAACTAGGCATGGACAACTATGTGGAATAGAGCATCCACATGTGTGGAACTGGGGGTATCCCAGGGACCGAGTGATCGTGGGAGCTAG